GGAGGCTACAATGAGGAGGGGGCGGGGTGGGGACTTGGGACTGCGCCGCGGCCGCCGCCGCCTGAGCAGGGCTTACGTAATCGCAGCCCCTTCCCCACCTCACCATCGGGCCGCTGGCCCAGCGGGTCGCTCCACAGTCCCTACTCCCAACAGCCGGCCTCATCACACCACGCTCGCCATAGACAAGGCGCTCAGGCTGTGGGTCGGTACCATGCAACCGCTTGAGAGGAAGCACGGTGGCTGCGAGGACGCGAAATTGCAGGCAGTCAGCCCCCACTCCTTCTGGCTTGGCTCTGGGCTCTCCGGACTCCAGCTCTATGAGCCTGTGACTGGAAGGATGTGACAGGTGTTGATACAATTAAACGGGAGGAGCCATGTGGCTATGTGGCCTAAGGGCCTTGGACACCTTCTGGACATGAGCTGGTATAGAACTGCCGCCCACAGGGAGGCAGAGGGAGTGGGCTAGCAGTCTTTGGTTCTAGAGAAGGGAATGGGCCTTGGCCAAGGTTGGAAGGCTTCAAAATGGGGTATGGACACCCTGAGATTGCTGAACAGGCCTTCTGTGTCCTTCTGGGATGTTAGGTCAGTGGGGGATCCTCCCCACCCTTCATCCCAGGAGAGAAGGCTGCACTGTTGAGGCCTGGATATGGCCTAGCAGCCCTCCTGCTAGCCCCTCCCAGCCTGAGCCAGCAGCTGACCTCGCAGGAGCAGATGGCAGATGCCACTTCACCTGCTCCCTCCTTGAGGGCTGACTTCCACTGGCATCTTGTACCATGGCCCACTGACCAGGGTCTGTTCAGGCCTCCCTGGTGCCCCTCTCTTCCAGCCTGTCACTTTAATGTGATGCTGGACAGCAGCCTCAGAGCAGAAGGTGGGGGTTGAGAAGGGAGCCTGGAATGATTGGGGGCTGTCTAGAAGTGGTCTGAGGACTGGGCTGGGAGATTCAAGGCTGAAAACATGGGTGGTACTGAAATTCCCGAGGATCTAGTTGCCCCATTTCCTGCATTCTCCAGCCACCCTTCCCCTGAGTCCTGGATACATATGCACTCACCCCTTTTCCCAAATACTCACTTTCTGACACCTGAAAGGGTCCTCGCTCCCATTGTTGAGGTTAAAACAAGTGCTTCTGGGTATAACTAATCTAGACCCAGGAAGTCCTGAGAGATTGAGGCAAGTGGATTCCAGAAACAGAAGAAAAGGCTTCTGGCTGGCACTGCTCAACTGTCCTCACCTGTGGGAGTAACTGATGTACCTTCCAGCACTGGCACAGGGAAGGGTGGGGATAGCAGCAAAGTAAGGTCTGGGAGGCCAGTGAGTGGCCCTGAACCTTCCCTGCTAGTGGTCCAATGGCCAAACTGGTCATAGAGAGTGTAGCTGGGCTGCATTTGGCAGGTGTCTAAAGGAGCCTTGGGCCTACTTCTTGGAGGTCTTATATTATCCAGAACAGGAGAGACTTGATAAGCTAAGGCTGGGCATCTATTCCACACTGCCTCATGGCCATTTGCCCATAGCTTGGTCGCAGAGCCTCAGTCTGCTGGAGCATCAATGTGGGCTCTTCTCAAGGCCTATCTTTGTACCTCCTGGGCCAAGGGTCTCCCCATCCTGAGATCCCTGGTACACCCCCAGAGGCTGCTTCAGCAGGGCGTGGAAGGAAAGTGCTGCTGTTGACGCGTTTGATGTGGCAAGGATGCGAATGTGCCTGAGTCACAGCACTGTCACAGAACATGTTGCTTGCACTGTGCCCCCTGTCCCCGCTACCCTGCTTGTCACCCCAGTCCCCGGGACTATTACCACAGATTGAGTTTGATATGAGTATTTGGATTATTTTTTTCCAAGCATGAGCTGATCAGGCCCCATACAGGCCAGGAACCAGCATCCAAGGTGGCTTCCATCCTGACCTGGTGCTCACAGAAATGACTATGTCAGAGACAGGGGAAAAGCCCCTAGAGTGATAGCTGTGAGGAGTGGGACATTGGTGGGCGAGTAGTTGGCAGTCTTCAAGACTTCAGGGTTATAGTAGAGACCTTGCTGGATGAGAACTGTGTTTAGAGGCCACTAACCAGATTGCAGGAAGACACAGGACCCAGTGAGGCAGAAGAAAGAGAAGTAAAATGCAACATATGTATTCCTGGTCTGAGGGTTTGGGAATCAGAAAGCCCTGGAGTCTTGGGACAAGTTGCAATTGTATTTGGCTTCAAGAAGATCCCTCTCTGAGCCTTGTTTTCCTCAGTGGTGCTCCAGACAGTAGTGAAGCTTAGGGTGCTGGGAGGACATGGCCTTCTTCCCATCATCTCAGTGGTTCCTGTTTCTTTGGGATCAGGCCAGATTTAGGGGGCACACACCCATAATCTTTAGCCATGAAACTCCAGAGGGGGCTTAGCCAAAAAAGAGATACAAGAGCTTCTCTCCCCCAGTATCTGCACCTCAAGTTCACTGGAACTGGGAGTCAAACACCAATCTGGTTCCTTCTCTAGAAATGCTGACCACAGTTGTACCTGGGGTTGAATTCTTGAGCTGCTCCTGCCTCACGGACCAGCCAACCCTCTAAGGCTCAGGCAGCTATACCCCTGGAAGTTTGGGTGACCAGTTCTTGTCCATTCCTTCATAAGTACCCAGAAGCTATACAATCATGATGCCATTTGTCCTCAAGGAGTTACTAGGCCAAGGGAAGAGACAGATAGCGATGACAACCACTGTGATGGGTGGCACTCTGAAGGTGCCTTTTCCAAAGTACAAGAGATCCTAGCTATTGAGACAGGCAGCACTCATCTGCAGCTGAGAAAGCCTATGTATGAAACGAGCAGGGGGCATTATTTGGCCAGATGAGTGGGGAATAGGAGAAGAGGAAAGGACAGAGGTCTGGTTGGGCAAGGAGTCAGGGCTGGAGGTTAGACTGTGAAGCTACTCAGGTCTCAGGGTCCAATGACTGGATACATAAAAGAGGCAAGTCCTTGTGGCTCAGCACCAGGATCTGTAGACTGTCAACCTGGAAACCATCAAATACTGGAGCTTTCCCAGGAGCTCTGTTGTGCCCACATTTCTTATGTCCACAGTAAGTCCTCTAGAGAGATGGAAGACCACAGTCAGCTCTTCCATGAGAGTACCTTGATGTGGCTTGTGCTGATGGAGACATGGTAGCTGAGGGAGTTGCCACTGTCTCCTAGTCTGGGATGGGTTCAGGGACCTCAAGCTCGTCTGCAGCCTAGAGCTGACCCAGAATTCCACTCCAAACTGAGCACCAAACATACCAGGCCTGAGACTGAGTGTTGTGCCAGATCAGCCATCATTTCAGAAGGTCTCTCCCCAGTATTAGCTCCTAAGGTACTCCTCTGTGAAGGGAGAGGCAGCCTGAATGACCTTGCCACTGATCCTTCCACCTCCTAGCAGGCAACTCCAAACAGGCTACAGGAGCCACCCTGGGTGGAGAGAGGAGTTGCAGCATCAAGAAGGAGCTCTAGCTGAACATGGTAGTGCATATCTGTAACCCCGGTATATGAGGTAGCAGTGGTATTGCTGCAAATACAAGGCCAACCTCAGCTACATGAGAGTCTGTTTCTACAACACCTCGGAGCAGGCCCTAGGTTCCCATCTGGCTAAAAGGAGGGCCAGGTAGAGGGATCCTTGCTGGAGCCAGTCAATAACTTCTTGCTTACCTGGTAGGAAAGTTCCAGTCTTCCACTCTGAGCTCAGCTTTCCCTGAAAGCCTCAGCCCTTCCTTAGGCCCAGGTGTAACTGTTTCCATTTTTGAAATACAGTACAGGGGGTTCTTGGGCTTGGTTAATTATGCCACAAGTGAGAGAAGCAATGAGAACCCCCGCCCTAGCACAAAGCTGGGTAGCAGCAGAATTGCCTCTGTGGAGATGTGCCTTCCACCAAAGGCAGGGGCCTGGATGGGGGATTTAGTCTGGCCTGGTTTCACCTACTTGACCTAAGTCTGGGAGGTAGGTAGTGGATCGTGTACTTCTGCAAACGTGAGTTCCAGAGCTGCAGCGAGGGCCAGGAAGGAGCCCTGCAGATGCCCGGGGCATCCACGTGCATCTCCCCCCACACGCCCCCAGCAACTCAGGCGCTCCACGTGCACACCCGCGGCTGGGAGCATTTTCAGCCTAAATCGGCACAGCTCTTGGATTATTTCTCCCCTGGCACCGCCTCCGCAGCCTCCTCCGGATCCTAGCCAAGCGGGCGGCTTCTCCCCCTGTCTCTTCCTGTGGAGCTGGGTTTGCCGGAGCCACGGATCATCCCTCCTCCGCTCCACTGTGGTGCAGAAAGCCCAGCTGACCCCAACGAGCGCGGGCGCTGTCCATGGTACTGTTCCCGGGGCTCCGAAAGCGTTGGGTCTACGCCTAGTGGCTGAGGCTAGATGGGCGGTCTAGGCATACATAGACTGCGAATCGGAGATACGGCGGGTATTCTGGCTGAGGCTCTCTCCATCTTCAGCACAGTTCCCAGAAATGTGGGTGGTGCTGGACAAGAATTGGAGCAATCAAGGAAAAACCTCATCCTTTCCCATCATGGATGCTGCCATCCTACAACAGGCTCCCTTCCCTGTATTGCTCTCAGGGAACTGGAGTAACCTCACTTTAGACTTCTCTTGCCATGGCATGCAGCTGTAACTCCTCAGAGCCTCAGGTTCATTGTATAAAGACTGGGGTAGCAATAGTGGTTTCCCCTACAGAAGGATGTCTGTTGTGAAACTGAAATATGTGATTGTCCCATTGTGCATTTGGGGAGTGTTGGCTACATTACTGCTGGATTTTGTGTGACTGCTATTGCCTGTTCTTGAGCACAAAAGAGCATCCAAAGGCTGAAAACCTCCCTCAGGGGAAAACTGGCCCACTACCCAGGTCCCAGAGGCATATTGAGGAGGGGAATGATAGGGAGAGAGTAATGAGGGCCTGGGGTGAACTGCCAATGGCCATCCTTAGACACAGAGCTGGGTTGTTGGTCATGAAGACCTTGTTCTAGGAAGACAGAGGACCAGGTATGAGTGTATAACAGAGGAACTGGGAGAAACTTTTGCTAACTTTCCTAAGATTGTAGGGCAGGAAGGTAACTCACATGTGGATCCGGTTCAGTTCTGGGATCACCTATACATGCCTTACCCTTGTGTCAGCTCTGGGACTTAGAAAAAAAATTCAATCCTTACTCTACCATACGCTATAAATCCCTCCCACAGGAGAGTCTGTAGTGTTACCTCCCAGATTTCATGTTGAGGAAATGGAATCACCAGTGGCTAGACAAGACCACGCATTCAAAGTAGGGGCCAGGTGGTGGCGCACGCCTTTAATCCCAGTAGTACGGAGGCAGAGACAGGTGGATCTCTGTGAGTTTGAGACAAGCCTGGTCTACAGAGTGAGTTCCAGGACTGGCTCCAAAGCTACATAGAGAAACCCTGTCGGAAGGAAGGAAGGAAGGAAGGAAGGAAGGAAGGAAGGAAGGAAAGCAAAGTAGGGGCCATTTGGACTCCAGAGTGTTGCATTTGGATCTGCAAGTGAAACCCGTGGGAAAAAACCACCTTGTTTCTGTATGTTGGGCAGTGGTGGACATGATATTTATATCTGGAATGCAAAGCAGATGGTCCTGACATTATGAGAGTCTCACTGCCCTTTCCCTCCATGGTTTCCATTCACAGTGACCTCTGCCACCCAGTTGCAGTCCAGGGAGTCTGAGGACCTGAGATGAATAGTGATTCAGACCTGTTTTATGGTCAGTTGACCCTGGCCTTCCCCATGGCCTTCCTCCTCCAGCTCTGATCCAAACTTTAGCTCTATTACTTAACTACTGGCCATGATTTCAAACAAGCAGTCCACTTGGACTTGACCTCCACTTCCTTGTTTGGACAACAGATATCACAACACCATCCTCATTGGGTTGGTTAGAGGGTTAAATAGCATGTGTCCAGCAGGGCTAGAGAGGTGGCTCACTTGTAAAGAGCACTTGCTGCTTTTATGGAAGACCTGGGGGCCTGTAACTCCAATTCCAGGAGATCTGATGCCCTCTTCTGACTTCCACAGATGCAAAGCACTCATGATATACACATACATACAAACACTTATACACAGAAAATGTTAATTGTTTAAATATGAAAAAGCATGTGTTCAGGTATTACTCTACTGGTACTTCAGTCAACTGTGGGAAGATGCCTGAGTGCCAGAGCTCACTATAGGCGCACAGATTCTTGAGAGATGATCTGTGACTCTGTGGACTGCTGGCACTCCATGAAGAAGGAGTCAGAAACTGCTCAATCACTTTTCTTCAATTTTCCCGATCCTGCTGAGCAAGGCAGGTCCCAATAGTGGGCATCAAGAGAGCAGAGGTAGAGGGAGCAATTAAGGACTCCATCTCTCCCTAACCTTGAATGGGAATCAAAGCATCAGAAGTACCTGTGAGCGGTGCAGGCCGAGCCAGTGAATATGAGAGAGGATGTGGACACTTGGGCTAGCTGTGAATATGGTCAGCCTGCCTCTTGTTCAGTCAGAAAAAGGCATGTGCTAGGATCCTTTCTGTTGAGTGGTCGTGGAAGTACTGTGGCAGAGGATGCTCAAAGATGAGAACAGGGCTAGTTCTCCAGCTCCTCCAGATACAGCAGACTCATTTGTTCCTCTTGTCTCACCCACAGAACGTGCAAGGAAAATGTCGAGCCCAGGTATCGATGGTGACCCCAAGCCTCCATGCTTGCCTCGAAATGGTCTGGTGAAGCTGCCTGGCCAGCCCAACGGCCTGGGTGCAGCCAGCATCACCAAGGGCACACCTGCTGCCAAGAACCGCCCTTGCCAGCCACCACCCCCACCCACCCTTCCACCTCCCAGCCTGGCTACACCACTGTCCCGGGTTGCTCTGGCAGGGGGGCCATGCCCCCCAGCCAGTGGACCAGCCTCAGGCCCAGTGCCTGGACCCCCAGTGGAGCGGCCACCACTGGCCACAGATGAGAAGATCCTTAATGGGCTCTTCTGGTATTTCTCAGCATGTGAGAAGTGCATACTAGCCCAGGTGTGCAAGGCTTGGCGGCGTGTGCTCTACCAGCCCAAGTTCTGGGCAGGCCTCACACCTGTGCTGCATGCTAAGGAGCTGTACAACGTGCTGCCTGGAGGCGAGAAGGAGTTTGTGAACCTACAGGGCTTCGCTGCTAGAGGCTTTGAGGGCTTCTGCCTAGTTGGTGTTTCTGACTTAGACATCTGTGAGTTCATCGACAACTACGCGCTCTCTAAGAAGGGAGTCAAGGCCATGAGCCTCAAACGTTCCACCATCACTGACGCTGGCTTAGAGGTGTGTCCGAAAATTGGCTAGAAGTGGACAGAGCTGGAGGGGCAGGCATAGACAGCAGCACCCCTATGGACATGGGAGGATGAGGGGCCAAGGGGATGCTCAGGTGTACATAGAACAAAAAGTAGCAAGGATAGCATTGTCAGGGCCTAATACAAAGTGAAAATATGGGCTTGATAAAAAATGATTAAAATTTTAAGGTTGGGGCAGGAGAGTAGTCAGTTGCATGTGGGTTCTTGCTTGCTAGTGAAGCTGGCCTCGGTGAGTGGGATGTCAGAGGGAGGGGAGGGAGTGGACAGCGGAGAGTCTCCTAAGAGCAAGGGTTGAAGGAGCATCTGGGCACTCTGCCCTGTTTCCCCCCTCCCCCAGGACCTGGATTGTAATTTTAATATTCAAATCATCTCTTCCAAACACCCACATTGGCCAGGCCCTGGCTCGTGGTCCCCTATGCCCTGCCTTTCTTTTGGAATACTGGCAAAGAATAACAGGCAGATTAAGTGCACTGCTTGAAGTTCAGCTTGATGCATGCTTGTGCAAGTCCACACCTAAGAGACCACTGCTTCCAGATTCCCAGAAGCTTCTTCCACTCTGCCTAGGCAACTGTGTTTACCCCCAGCAGGATGGGTACCAGGTGTGAGTGGGGGAGCTGACTTAGTCTGGCCTCTGATCTGTACCTGCCTATAGGTGATGTTGGAGCAGATGCAGGGAGTGGTGCGCCTGGAGCTGTCAGGCTGTAACGATTTTACTGAGGCTGGCCTGTGGTCCAGCCTCAGTGCACGAATCACTTCACTGAGTGTCAGTGACTGCATCAACGTGGCGGACGATGCCATTGCTGCCATCTCCCAACTTCTACCCAACCTGGCAGAGCTAAGCCTTCAGGCCTACCACGTGACTGACACTGCACTGGCCTACTTCACAGCACGCCAGGGCCACAGCACCCACACACTGCGCCTGCTCTCTTGCTGGGAGATAACCAATCATGGGGTGGTCAATGTGGTGCACAGTTTGCCCAACCTCACCTCACTCAGCCTCTCAGGCTGCTCTAAGGTCACTGACGATGGAGTGGAGCTTGTAGCTGAGAACCTGAGAAAGTTGCGCAGCCTTGACCTCTCTTGGTGCCCCCGGATCACTGACATGGCACTAGAATATGTGGCCTGCGACTTGCACCGCCTGGAGGAACTCGTGCTGGACAGGTGCACACATCCCTACACTCCAGGCCGGTACTGGTGGGAACTCCAGGAACTGGAAACCCAGAGTGGGTGGTGCCATTCCATGGGCTCCTGGGATGGGGGAGGCCACAGAGAATAGAGTGCCCAACTTCAGCATAGCCTGGAGGGAAAGCCATATTCCAAAAGGGGAAGTCACCGGGAGGGCAGGTGCAGTGGTGGGACCAGGGTAGGGCAGTAGTGGGCGGGCAGGGACTTGCTGTAGGAACGCTTCTGAAAAGGAGGGAGGGACCCAGGTGGGGACTGGGTGAAATGATTTAAAGGTGGGCAGTCCCCCCTCTGGTGCAACCACAGGTGTGTACGCATCACGGACACTGGCCTCAGCTATTTGTCCACCATGTCGTCCCTCCGCAGCCTCTACCTGCGATGGTGCTGCCAGGTACCTCCATGCCCCCAGGGATCTGGAATTTAGAATGCCGTGGGTGGCACGGAGGGTGGGGTTGGGTAGCGCCAGTCCAAACAATTCTTGAACTTCAGTGGGCCCCATTCAGATCCCTTAGTTTGGCCTGGCAGCCAAACGAAGCAGAATCTTCGGATTCCCTAAGGCCCTCGTGGGTGCTTTCAACCCCCATTTTTTGCCCTTCTAGTGGCTCCAGGTCCCAGGCAAGTGAAAATAGTTAACACGACCGCCTCTCATTTCCTCCCAGGTGCAGGACTTCGGGTTGAAGCACCTGTTAGCCATGAGGAGTTTGCGCCTCTTGTCTCTAGCAGGTGAGACCCCTGCGTGCCTCGTTGGCTGTGGCGCCTACTCAATGTGACTCTCCTGGGGTCCCTTACGCACATAGAGTCACTTCAGACTTCGGCAAATCACGTCCTAGGCTGCAGGTGGGAGGAAGGGCGAGCTCTAGGCAATCCTACCGGTCCTGTAGTTCACTCCCTGGTGCAGATCCGGCCCATCCTGTCAGATTCCCACCCTCCCACGCCCAGTACAGGTCCCGCCTCATTGGCCTATTGTAGTACCCACTCCCAGCAGGCCACTGCCCTCTCCAGCCTTGCCCTCCTGCCCAACCCAGTCCAGCCCTTCTGCCGGGCAGAGCTGAGCTGCTGAGCGGCAGTCCCGATGCCTCCTCGCGCTTGCAGGCTGCCCGCTCCTGACTACCACGGGGCTATCGGGCCTCGTGCAGCTGCAAGAGCTGGAGGAGCTGGAGCTGACCAACTGCCCTGGAGCCACACCGGAGCTCTTCAAGTACTTCTCGCAGCATCTGCCGCGTTGCCTCGTCATTGAATAGCGCAGGCTTCCCCACCGGACGCGGGAACCAAGCCCTGGGCAGTAGCCCCTCTTCCATCCCTGCCGGAGCACCACTCCTCAGCCCTGCGCTGGAGGCGGGGCAAGCTGAGGGAAACCCCGCCCCGTGCCTCCTTTGCTCCTCTGCTCCACTGCTCCATCCCCGCTGGGGCAAGAGGCAGAGGGGCCAGCCCCACGCACGCACGCACACTCGGGGACTTTGTGCATGCCCCTCGTGCCCGCACTGCACGTCCGCCCTCCACCATGCCACAGCCGCCGCCATCTCTCGCCCGCCTTCTGAGGAGGGGCTAGGTCCTTTGGGGATGCTTTGAGTGCAGAAGCCCTCACTGCCTTCCCCATTTCATTCTGCTCTCTGCCTCCCCCGCTGTCCCCCATCCCGGGCAGGGCCCAAGGGGATGGAGGGATTGGCCCCCAAGGACTCAGGGGCCTGGAAGAGCCCCAAGGGCCTCCCACATCTTCCACTGCACCTCGCCTGGTGCCCTCCAAGGGGTATAAGGCGTTACAGGCCACTGCCAAAGCCATGGCCCCCTGAGGAGCCCAACTACCCCATGCCCACCTGACCCAGTGGCTTCCCTTCTTCCTTGTGGCCATATGGGTCAGTTCTTGTCCTCTGTGCCCCCATCTCCTTCTTTCCCCCTGGCCCTCAGATCCTTGGGCCCTGGCCAGGCTGGGACAGCTTTAGGAGAATGCAGACCTTGGAATAATCAACATAACCCTAACTGGTGCCCATCCACCCAAGTGCAAAGGTGGAATAGGCACCTGACAGACCCCAATCTGGAGCCACCCGAAAGGCTGTCAGGCCTTGGGAGCAGCCCACCCACTTCAGCCTCTACCCCAGCTGAGCTCAGGCCTCTCAGCACTATGCTTCACCCTGGATAGGTCTCCTCAGGTGGAATCTGCAGAGGGCCTGGCCAAGGGTCAGGGTCAGCACTGATCAGTAATTCTGATCTTCCAGGGGCCAGCACACCCTTCACACCCCAAGGAAGGAGGGCTCCTTTCTAGTCCTCCTTGGCCTTTCCCAACTTCCAAATTTGCCTGTCCAAATGGGCTGTGACCATGTTTTGTCAGGTCCCAAGACATTTGGAAGTCCTAGGGGATCCTGGCATATGTGTGTCAGTGCTGAGGAAGGGACTGGGAACCCCTTCCCTCCCAACCTTGAGACCCAGGAGACACAGCACCCACAATCAATCTTGGGACATCCCTATCTGGTTGGAAGAGAGTAATTAATTCCCAGAGAGCCAGAGGGAGAGAGAGAGGAAGAGAGAGAGAAAGAGAGAGAGAGAGAGAGAGAGAGAGAGAGAGAGAGAGAGAGACGCTGTTGACAAAAAAGAGTTCAACAGCCCAAAGAGTTCCCTGCCCCTGAAGTGTTGGCCAGGGAGGCTCCAGGCTGAAGTGGTCAGGAGCCAGATTCTTCAGCCCTTCTTCCCGCAGTCCCCCAACAGGGAGGGAGAAGTTGTCCATTTGCCCAAAGTATTAATGCAACTGAAGCTGTGATATTTCCAATGACTGTAGGAGGAAAATTTAAGGGGAGAGAGGAACACAAACAAAATCAACCAACCCCTAAAGTCATTTTCTTATTGTACATAACGACCTCATTCTCCTGTATATGCGGAAGATATAACCTTATATTTGGTAAGTGTTTCTTGTGCTATTTTATCACGTGACCTGTTTATAAAAATATATATTAAAAAAGTTGTAAAAACACGAGTCTGGGTTGTTTTATTGTCACTAGACCAAGTTGTAAGGACTAAATCTGCCCTCGATGACCCAGGTTTCTGGGTTCTTCTGCCTCTCTCAACTCATCAAAGTTACTCATTCCTTCCATAAACATGTAGAGGCTTAGCAACTGACCAAGAGTTTTTTTTTTTTCATGCCCTGGATGCACAAAAGGGAGCAAAGAGGCTGATGTCGATATGTATATTCCTTCAAAAGGATCTAGGCTTTAGTCTACCATCCTTTAAGAAGAGCAGAAATAAGCCTTGTCTGTTGCACAGGGTCACTAAATGAGGGATTGTGATTTTCTAAAAGATTACAATGGCACTGACATGGTTAACTAAATAGCATTTACTATTCTTGCAGAAGACCTAGGTTCAGTTCCCAGCACCCACATCAGATGGCTTTAAGATGCTTGTAACTCATGCTGGGCATTGGTGGCGCATACCTTTAGTCCCAGCACTTGAGAGGCAGAGGCAGGCAGATATCTATGAGTTCGAGACCAGCCTGGTCTACAAGAGCCTCCAAAGCCACAGAGAAACCCTGTCTTGAAAAACCAAAAGGAAGAAAAAAAGATGTCTGGATCCCATAGATCTAGAATGCACAATGGTGCACATAAAAACTCACACAGAGACAGTACTTGGGAGGCAGAGGCAGTCCGACCTGTGAGTTTGAGGCCAGTCTGGACTACAAAGTGAGTTCCAGGACAGCCAAGGCTGTTACACGAAGCCCTGTCTTGAAAAACAAAAACAAACAAAAAACCCACCACACACACACACACACACACACACACACACACACACACACTAAACAAATAAAAGATCACCATGTGCCAGAAGGCCAAGACTACTGAGCCCACCCCAAAAGAAAGGGGCAACTGGGACTAAACCTAGCCACTGATAGAACTAGCTGTCAGGCCCTGAAAATACCAAAACAGGTGTAAATAGACATAAAATCCACAATAGAACCCGGCAGTGGTGACCCACGCCTTTAATCCCAGCACTCAGAAGGCAGAGGCAGGTGGATATCTGTGGGTTTGAGGCTAGTCAGGTCTGCAGATTGAGATCCAGGCTGTTACATAGAGAAACATGGTCTCAGGGGGGAAAAAAACAAAACAGCAACAAAACAAAAATTTGCAATAGAAAAAGGAGGCCACATTAGATTCGGGCAGGAGGGATGGTCTTAAGATGGCAGGCATTTGAGCTAAGTGCTGAAGGCTGGAAAGGAGACACATTCTGCAAGGGTAGCAAGCATAGGTAGAAGGCATAGTTACATAGCTTACAAAACCGGAAGAGGAAGGAAACTGCTCAGTGGGAAGGAAGCATGCTGAGAAAAGGGAAGCCAAGAAACAGCTGCTGATGCACCAGGACCGTCAGGGCCAGGGGTCTGGGATTTATTAACAGTGTAGTAAAGACCTTGAGTAGAAAAGTTACCAGGTCTCTTGTGCGGGGGTTCAAAGCAGGAAATGATGTACCCAGGACCGGTCAGGAAGCGGCACCTGAGTTCCGTCGGGAAAGTGTGTGTGTGGGAGTAGAATATGGCACTGAGGCAGAGTGGAGGAACTCAGAATCTACTTAGAAAATAACTTGCTGCGGGGAGGTGGGGGTGGGAGATGGGATAGGGGACGGGGGAGAATGGAAGGACGGAAGGGAGAGGGACCTGGGATTGGTATGTAAAATAAGATTCTTTTTCATTTAAATAAAAATTAATTTTAAAAATGCAAGCCAGAGTAAGGAAAAAATGACCTGCTGCAAGACTGGAGGAGACGTTTAAGTTCTGGTATTAAGATATTGAGATTAAAACAAACTGGGACCGGCAAAATAGCCCAGTTGACAGAGAATCTGTCTTGTATGCATTAGGCCCTGTCCGGGCTCGATCTCCGGCATCACAAAACAAAAACAGAAAACCCTAACCAAACAAACGCAGATATATCACCAAGGAAGAACCAGGGAGCCCAATGACCCCAGTTTCCGTTAATTCGCTTGGCCAAAGCGCGGCACGCAAACACGGAACCTTTATGGTATGGGATAAGAGTTTGTGCCCATTTCCGGTGAGGCAAGACTAAAAAAAGGACTACTTCCGGTAATGGGCGGGGAAAAGGTGAGTCTTTTCCGGTACGGTAGCCGAGGAACTCTGTGCTTTCGGTAAATGTCTGGCGTGCGCCCGAGGCAGAAGCTTTCCCAGCACCTGGTTCTGGTCCTGCAGTTTCCGCTGCCCGGTGCAACCAGAAACCTGTACTTAGTGCTGTGGCCTCTCCTCTGCCTCCCAAGGTCTTTAAACTCAGCCCTCCGGACCCCTCCAGTTCCTCTACCCTTTCCTCTCGTTTGTTCGTTCCTCTTGGAAGCCCCGCAATCCTTGGAGGCACGGGGCTAACTGTGAAGGCAGCAGCCACTTTTCTCCTCACTGGGATCGACCTACTAAGGGTCTAGTAGCATCCAGGATCTCGTTAATGGATGATTAACTACATGGAATCTGGGGAGGTCAGATACGGGACTAACTAGCCTCAGGTTAACTATGGAGCCTTTTAGACAACTCCAGGGAATTTAAATCTTCCTGTAATGGTGATTGGCTGATGGACCATCTCAGGCCGAATGTTCGAGAGGACAAACCTGAACTGTTAGGACACCATGACTGACCAGACCAGCATATTTCACTGACCTCTTGCCCCTGATCCCTGTGTAGCCATGGAAAAGATGTCCCGAGTTACCACAGCCCTGAGTGGCAGCGCACTGACAGGCCGTACCATGCACTGCCACCTGGATGCACCGGCTAATGCCATCAGTGTGTGCCGTGATGCCGCCCAGGTTGTTGTGGCAGGCCGGAGCATTTTCAAGATTTACGCCATTGAAGAAGAGCAGTTTGTAGAGAAGCTGAATCTGCGTGTGGGCCGGAAGCCTTCACTCAACCTGAGCTGTGCTGATGTGGTCTGGCACCAGATGGATGAGAATCTGCTGGCCACAGCAGCCACCAATGGTGTGGTGGTTACATGGAACCTAGGGCGGCCATCCCGAAACAAGCAGGATCAGCTGTTCACAGAACACAAGCGCACAGTGAACAAAGTCTGTTTCCACCCTACTGAGGCCCATGTGCTGCTCAGTGGCTCTCAGGATGGCTTCATGAAGTGCTTTGACCTCCGAAGGAAAGACTCTGTCAGCACCTTCTCTGGTGAGGCCCACAGAGACAGGGTGGGGTAGATGTATGTTTCTGTAGGCGTTAGACCTTACAAGCAGCTAAAGTGTGCTTCAGCTGCACTGTCAGCGGTTGAACAGCACTGGGAGAGTGGGTGGAGAGGGAGAGGGTTGGTCCCAGGGAAGGATGAGCCTAAGCACTGCTGGTTGGGGAGAGGCAGGAGGTCAGACTGGTGGGAATTGAGACTGGGTGTAGCTGAGAGGGAAGGTAGAGCCTGCAGACACAGTGTAGTGAGTGGCTTCCTCACCTTGCTTCACTGCAGTGAATCTACTAGTATCTTCAGGACTCGCAGCCCAGGGAAGCACACAGGGCTCCTCTCAGGGCAGACCTGGCTGTCTGTATTCAGCCTGAGCGTGCTCCCCCTGGTTCTTTTGGTTTTATGTTTGTTTTATTTTTTGAGATAGTTTCTCTATATAACAGCTCTGGCTGTCCTGGAATTTGCTTTGTAGACCAGGCTGGCCTCGGACTCAGAGATCTGCCTGCCTCTGCCTCTGGGATTAAAGTCGTGTGCCACCAACGACAGGCTTCTCCCTGGTTCTTAATGAGATCAAATGAAGCACAAGCAGTGCCTTGGACCCTTGGAGAATTTGTGGGTTAAGACAGATCTTGAGCTGTCTGTGGCAGGGAAAACTGGATATTGCACCTGCAGGCTCCTGATATTGTAGTCTTCTAAGGTGGATTGGTCTCTGAACCCTTCGGTCATTTGGAACTAACTAGGCAGCTGGCAGGGGTATTGAGCAGAGAATGAGGCAACCTCCTCTTTCATTCATATGGTCTCACAAGCCTTGGCCCCAGGGAAGTGTAGACAGCCAGCTGGGTTGGGCTCCTATACCCTCAGTGCTCAGGGAATCGAGGCCTGGGAGTTTGTGCAGAAACTACCTGGCATGTTCTCTCTGGCCTAGGCTTCAGAGACCCACCCTGGGCAGATTCTGATGGTGTATACTCCATCCTCTGTGCTTCCCAGCTTGGCCACAGGCTGGTGAAGGATACCATTCTAGCCCCTTTAAGGGCTCCCCATCCCCTGAGGGCCAAGCCCGCTCACATCGCCTTTCTACTGATGCATGCCCACAGGCCAGTCTGAGAGTGTGCGGGATGTGCAGTTCAGTATCCGAGACTACTTTACCTTTGCCTCCACCTTTGAGAATGGCAACGTACAGCTCTGGGACATCCGCCGACCCGACCGATGTGAAAGGATGTTCACGGCCCACAATGGGCCTGTCTTCTGCTGTGACTGGCACCCAGAGGACAGGTGTGGTGTGGGGGTGAGGAGGGCATTAAGTCTGGGGTGTGGCGGGGCCTCCTTCCCCCCTGGAGAGGTCACTGAGAGCTTGAGTGGGACCTTCTCCACAGGGGCTGGCTGGCCACAGGTGGACGGGACAAGATGGTGAAGGTCTGGGACATGACAACACACCGTGCCAAGGAGATGCACTGTGTGCAGACCATCGCCTCAGTGGCCCGAGTTAAATGGCGGCCTGAGTGCCGCCACCACCTCGCCACATGCTCCATGATGGTGGACCACAACATTTACGTATGGGATGTACGCCGGCCCTTTGTGCCAGCTGCTATGTTTGAAGAGCACCGTGATGTCACCACAGGCATTGCCTGGCGCCACCCACATGATCCCTCTTTCCTACTCTCTGGCTCCAAGGACAGCACATTATGCCAGCACCTGTTTCGTGATGCCAGCCAGCCTGTTGAGCGTGCCAACCCTGAGGGCCTCTGTTATGGCCTCTTTGGGGACCTGGCCTTTGCTGCTAAGGAGAGCCTGGTGGCTGCTGAATCTGGGCGCAAACCCTATATGGGTGACCGGCGCCACCCCATCTTCTTCAAGCGCAAGTTAGATCCTGCTGAGCCTTTTTCTGGCCTGGCTTCCAGTGCGCTCAGTGTCTTTGAGACAGAGTCTGGTGGTGGCAGCATGAGCTGGTTTGTGGATACAGCTGAGCGTTATGCTCTGGCTGGTCGGCCACTAGCTGAGCTCTGTGATCACAATGCAAAAGTGGCTCGGGAGCTTGGCCGTAACCAGGTATGTGGGGCTGGGGATCTGGGGCCATGATTTAGGTCAGAGACTACCACTGTAGTGGGGCACCATACCCACAACCACCCCAAGCTTAGCACATTGTCCTTGCTCTGGTCAGTCACAATGCCAGCCTTTGACAAAGTGTTCTGCAGTGTAAAGATCTTGTGGAACAGAATAGCCCAGACCCTGGGGTCAACCTAGGGGTGGAGGCCTAGGGAGTCAAGTACCCACAGCCCCCTCTTGTGCCTCCCTCTTGGTGTTGGAGCTGCCTTCTGCCTGCCATCTCTCTTCTCCCCTTGCTAATCCTACCACCAGGGACCTCACAGTTGTGCTGCTAGAGAGTGGAGACAGTGCTTTTTCCATGTGCCACAATTTCCCCAGTGGAGGCGGTTCAGGCCATGGATTGGTATATATATATGATTCTGCCCAGGATATGGGGGCCAGCCTGGGTGCTAGGTGCCCAGGACCTATGAGTGGTTGGTGCCTACCCCTAGGTGGCACAGACATGGACCATGCTACGGATTATCTACTGTAGCCCTGGCCTGGTGTCCTCTGCCAATCTCAACCACAGTGTCGGCAAAGGCAGCTCCTGTGGCCTACCACTCATGAACAGGTAGACCAATGGCAATCCCTGCCCTCCCCCCCCCCCCCCGCCCCACCCCCAAGCCTGCCTTTGTAGCGAGGCTGCAGGCCTCTCCTGCCTCCACCTCCTACCCCAACCTGGTTCCTAGTGCCGAGCCCAGACCAAACACCTGCCTGCCTACTGCTCACCTTCCTCTACTCTGGCCCCCACAATCCCTATGCCCCAGCTCCAAACAGGGCTCTCAAGACTTTTAAGACAGTAAAACA